AAAGAATCTATTGGCTCGTGTGAAGAGTTGTGGCAAAGAATACAAATCGCTGCCAACGAAGTCAGACGCAATCCCAATATGTTGTTTCAAACTCGAAGATCTCTCAGAAAACGTGTAAAGTGTATCAGTGTCAACGGTGGATTCTTCGAACAATTACTTTAAATCATAGTTACGTATATTATTTGTTTCATTGTTAATTGTTGTAATAACACGAAGCAACACTTGGTTTGTTTCGCTTTTAATTTCTCATATTATCAAAACATAGTGTTCGTTAAATCGATTTTTCTCGAAAACGGAACGAGATACTGAAATGAAACAAGAGTACGTAATTAATGGAAAAATGATAGCTGTTTCAGGTTTTGAATCAATTTTCATGTTAAATATACAGGGTAAAAAGTTATTAACTAAATTTTCGGTAAAATTGTTAAGTCTTCTCCTAGAATGTGAAAAATACTAAATTACTATACGACGCACTTAATTTTACATCACAAACATTTTAATTCGCCAAGTAAGCTACGCCCACTTTTGAGGCCAGTGTACGCCACTGGATCTCTCGGAGTACTCCGACCTTGTCTGGATAAATGTCTCACTGTTATTTTGAATCTGTTACGTAATTGATAAACCTTTCAAATTTTCAAATTTGCTCAGAAATTTTTCTGTAGTAAACGGTTTACAAGCTCAGGGATTTTGTCAATTTTTTTTCTGAGTTGTTGACGTTATTAAACTCCAACAGGGAAACTTGACGGAATGATTTGCAATATCCAAGAGTCATCAATAGATTTTTGAAGCGGTACATCTGTCTAGGTCGAGGACGACGACATTATACACTACGTAGTATAATAATGACTTGTTAAAACATCTTCCTGGTACCCCCCTACGGCAGTATTGCGTGTTTAGATAAATATAAAATAACGACACATAACCATTGATTATTTCACAAATACCAACAAAACGAACGACGCAGTTACCTTGTAAACGTGTAGGTAGACCGAAATTGAATACAGAAGACGTTCGTTTGAAGCTGTTCTAATATTTTCAATTATGGGTCTGTGTAATGCTGAGTGCACTTCAAAGGCCAGATTGGATGGCAAAACGGCCGTAATCACGGGCGCGAATACGGGCATTGGGAAATACACAGCACAGGATTTTTATACTAGAGGTAAGTCAATATATATTCGTTTTTTAATATAATTATAATATATTCTATATATTCTTCTTTATACAGGGTGTGACTTGTATAAATCTATAAAAATTAAACTACAGCTTCCTAACGATATTTGTAATAAAAAAGTCTTATACGAAAAAGTTCTATTTTTGCGTTTTTTTTTTTCATAAATTAAAGTTCAATTATGTATCAAAATACATATTTTCTTTGGAACGGTCCTGTCCGTGTGCTGTACGATAAGTTATGTGCTGTAGATAGGCTTACCAGGTCTCCGGGTTTGACCCGGAGTCTTTGAATTTTGATGGTACATCTTCGGGCTTCGGGTTAACATGTCATTTTTCCAGGTTAACGCCCTACCCCCGAAATCCATTTCCCCGAGTCACATATATCCTGACTGTGTCTTTTTTTTTTAGACACGATTTGTCCGATTGCAATTGCAGATCATTTTTTTTAGACATCAAGTTCTCTGTCATGAAATAAATCTGGTAACTCTAGCTATAGACCAGCCGCGTAAACAAATCGTCGTTGAAAGATAGAAAGATACTTCTCAATTTTTGAGGAATTTTATTAATAATAATTACTATCTTAAATGCATTGTTATTACTGCAAAAATGCGCAAACAAAACCACATCCGTAAGCATATGTAGTTGCCAACTGCGTGCACAAAAGAAACTCCATTAAAATATGGAACAAAATGAAATAAAACGTACCATTTCTAGAGAAAATGTTGAAATTGATCCCCATTAGCGCGGATACAGGCATGGCACCGATGCACCCAATGTTGGCGAATATTTTCCCAATTGGAGTATTGTGAACCAATGACTTCAAGTGACTCCAAAGATAAAAGTCTATTGGAGTTAGATCGGGTGACCGAAGTGGCTACGGCACAGGACCAAAGCGTCCAATCCATCGCTGAGGAAACATTTAATTCAAAAGTGTTGTTACTTCTCAGTACTGTGTGGAGGAGCCCCATCTTGAAGATAAAACATGCGTGCCCGAACTTGTAATGCCACATTGTCCAATAATTCAAGCAACCGCTTGTCCAAAAAGTCAGTACCTATATGTTGGTCTATTTAGTCGTCCTTCAAAGAAATAGGGACCCATAAGTACATCGCGTATTATGCCAGCCCAAACATTTACCGAGAACCGATGTTGAAAATGAGTTTCCCTAATCGCGTAAGGATTTTCATCGGCCCATAATACAGGGTGTCTCATAATTAGCTGCCAACCCTGAACAGGCCGATTCTATGATCAAAACTAAGTAAAAAAGTTCATATGAACATGGGTCCGGAAATGCTTCCTAAGGGCACAGGGACCCATTGAAGAGGGAGGAATGGAAATCATTTTTTTGCAATATCTCTCAATCGCGTTGTGATAAATGAATGAAATTTGGTATACACAGCTAAATTTTGATGAGCAATTTGATGGACTAATCCATTTATTTCCACAAGGTCCATTGGGGTGGGTACGGGGGGGCCCTTGGTACTTTGCGTGTGTAACTTTTTCATCTTTGACTTTTTAACAAATTGGACAGCAAATTCCGTTTTCCCGAACTGTTTTACGTTAAAAAGGTACTCTTGTTTCAAATCGTTATCTTTAACGGTTTCTGAGAAAATCGCTCTTGAATTAATCCCACTTTGGTCAATTTCATAGTAATTTAAACAAAAAAAATTTTTTTGTTTAAATTTAATCTAATTTTAATAAAAAAATAATAATAAAAAATTAAATTAAATAAAAATTAATCCTTTAAATGGAAAAGAGAGGAAAGGAAAATTATTATTATTATTTTTTGTTTAAATTACTATGAAATTGACCAAAGTGGGATTAATTCAAGAGCGATTTTCTCAGAAACCGTTAAAGATAACGATTTGAAACAAGAGTACCTTTTTAACGTAAAACAGTTCGGGAAAACGGAATTTGCTGTCCAATTTGTTAAAAAGTCAAAGATGAAAAAGTTACACACGCAAAGTACCAAGGGCCCCCCGTACCCACCCCAATGGACCTTGTGGAAATAAATGGATTAGTCCATCAAATTGCTCATCAAATTTTAGCTGTGTATACCAAATTTCATTCATTTATCACAACGCGATTGAGAAATATTGCAAAAAAATGATTTCCATTCCTCCCTCTTCAATGGGTCCCTGTGACCTTAGGAAGCATTTCTGGACCCATGTTCATATGAACTTTTTTACTTAGTTTTGATAATAGAATCGGCCTCTTCAGGGTTGGCAGCTGATTATGAGACACCCTGTATATTCATGTTATGGAAATTCACTTTATCACGGGTAAATGTCGCATCATCTGTTACACAAACAAAAACAGGAAAGTGTACTTCATTGGCACATTCCAGTAAAAACCATCTGCAAAAACGCATTTGTTGATCACAGTCCAGGGGGTTAGGGGGTAAAATTTGTTGAACTGGTTGCAGATGATAGAGATGCAACAGCTGGCGCCTTAAGATGTGATGTACGGTACGAAATGAGGTTTTTACTTGCTGTGCGAGTCGTCGAGTACTAATTGTGGGGTCTTCGTCAAGGTTTTCCAACACTGCATCTTCAACATTAAGGTTCACTTGCTGACCACGTTCTTCTCCTCGAGGAATAACACTTCCCGTATCTCGCAGCCGCTGAACGCACTGTAGGATTGTATTTGCACATGGGGGTGACGTTGTGACCATCGTTCCCGGTAACAACCTTATCGACACGTTCGGAAATAGTAAATGCATTGTTTTCTCGGTTCATTGTAAAACTAGTTTGTGCACAAACTAAAAAGTTAAGTAAAGTAAGAAATAAGAATCTCATTTTTAATGTAATCGGCAGGCAATTCTTATTTTTTACTTCTTTATAAAAATTATACTGTCACTATCGTGGAATTACAAAATAAAAACTTTTGTCTGGAATCTTTCACTTTTTAACACTGATGGGTCGATGAGAGATGCTTAATATTTAATAATTAAGTGAATAATGTATTCAATACAAATACAAAATCAGTTGACTGCACAAATTTTTAACAATGTAACCTAACCTTCTTTTAGTATTACTAGTATCAGAATACACCGACTTAAATTATAAGGTTGCATCTCGGGTCGCATAAAAACATTTCCAAAGTTTTTAATAAATAATACAGGTTCGGCTTTCATTTTCGATGAATAAATGAACTTTAATTTACAAAACAACAAAGAGTTTTCTATTACAAATATGATCAGGAAGCTGTAGTTTAATTTTTATAGAATATACACGCCACACCTTGTATAATACTTTAATACTTTAAAAATATTTTATTAGTAAATATCTTAATTTATTAGGTATCGTAAACGTGTAAATATTTCAGCGCCCTTACAATATCAGAAGTGGCATTTTACCATTTTCTCTAATCATTCGATGCCGATTTTAGGTGCGCGCATTATAGTGGCTTGTAGAAACTTGGAAAAGGCCAATCAGGCGATTGCTGATATCAAGGAGGCCTGCAAGGACTTGGAAAACCTGGGAACCATCCTAGTAGTAGAGCTGGACCTCTCCAGCCTTAGTTCAATAAAAAATTGTGCCGCTCAATTACTAGATAGTGAAGAGAGGATCGATCTGCTGATCAACAATGCGGGAGTGATGATGTGTCCTGAAAGTAGGACTGAGGATGGGTTCGAGATGCAGATAGGCACCAATCACTTGGGCCATTTCTTGTTCACCCTGTTGCTCTTGCCCAGAATCTGCCAGAGCACTCCTGCTAGAATAGTAAATGTTTCCTCCTTGGCCCACCGTGGTAAGTCATTTATTATATTATAACATGATTTAGTACGAGAAATACTTCATTTTGATTTGGATGTATTCCATTATGGGTTAAATAAGTTTTCAGTTTAAAGTGTTAGTCTATACTTTACATCTAGGTCATTCACATAAAAAATCCCCGCCCGATAACAGAAAGAGATTTTTGGATTCTGCAAAAGCCAGTTGTTAAACGTCACTTAAATCCCAAGTAGAGTTTTTCCAAAACAAATCTGGAATAGAAACATTTTTCATTCCTGAAAAAATGTTTTTCTTTGAGTCCAGTACCGGTCTACTTCTGCTTCTAGAACGTCGTCGACGAATTGTATCAACTGTCCTTTACAGAAACAAACATTTCTTTTCTCTTATCAACCGTAACCTTGTGTGTCACACTGTTTGTGTCTAATTTTTTCTCCTACATTTTTTTCTTTTGGACTTAGGCGGCAGGATCGACCTGGAGGACCTTAATTGGGAGAAGAAAAAATACGGTGAATTTGCAAGTTATCAGCAAAGCAAATTGGCTAATATCCTGTTCACCAAAGAACTCGCTCGAAGGCTCACAGGTACAAAAAACAATTTGTTTGAATGTCTAACTCTAAGAAAGTCATCGATTTAACATTCTGTTATAAAAAAACATGTTTAATTATTATCTAGTGATATTGCGGAACTTATGCTTTGACCAACACTGAATTTTGCCCGCAATGTCTAGTAAAAAGGTCATTCGTCAACAGAAACCACCAAACATATACCGGTTTCGAACTCAATAGTTGTTATCAGTAGATGAACTTACCGACGAATGATCGAGCTATTTTTTGTCTTAACGAGAGAGTATAATTCGATGCTTATCGAGGCCTTAGTCCGCAGAGTAATTGTTTCCCAGAATATAAGCAGTTATAAATTGCCTAGTGACGACACAAGCCTTGCTTTCATAATACTTGCAAATTAGCAGGTCACACTCTGCCAGTTTGTCCAAATTAGGCCATTGAGTAACTGTGCCCATTCATAAATGTAGCACTGTTACATTTTATATCTCACATATTTGTTTACTTAAATTAAAAAAAAAATTGAAATACATATTCCTAGCAACTTCTAAAAACTTAATTAATTAAAAAAATAATAATAATTGACTATCCTTATTAAAAATTAATAGTAAATTATGGTGAAAATACATAATAAATATAATAATATGCTAACATTATATTCTTATTATGTACTTCGATCAAGATAATCCATCTAATACCGTCATCCTTCAACATCATCGTTTTCTCCTGACTAAAAATAGGCTTTAACCATATCAATTCTTTCTTGAGTCGTATACTTACATACTGTTTTATAATATCACGCTAAAACGAAAATGAAAACAAAAATATACTGTACACTAAACATTGAAAAAAATTACTTTATACAGTGTATAAGAAGTTTGACTGCCATTACTTCAGCAAGAGATAGAGTAATCATAAGTGAACATAAAAGTTGTATATTACAGGGGAGTAAGATTAACAATTTTCAAAATACGAGTATTAATATTGGGGATTTTCATCACAACGTGACAACAGCGCTTAACCTGCTGATGCACACCAAGTGTGCACGCGACAGACTTGTCCTACGGAAAAAATGTAAACAACTATTACTGTGAAACATTTAGTAAATTTCAAGACAATTATTTTCCAGTTTTTAAATAAATAAAATAAAATTTATCGATTTTGTAGAAGATAGTGTTGTGCTTAAATTTTAGCTGGAATTTTAGTAATTATGAATCTCTTAAAACAGGAACTTAACTTTTAATCAAATCATGTATTTGAAAAATATGTAATTAAAGTACCTAAAGATTCACGTCGTCCAAATAATCATATGTATTAAAAATAATTTAGGTACTTACTAAATAGCAAAATCCAGTAATATTTAAACGCACAAGTATAAAACAAACTACAACATATGCTTAAAATGTCCACCACCATTTTCGCTGCACGCACGACACCTTCGAATCCAATTTTCGCGCACTGACTGGAAAGCACCTCAAGAAAAGGAAATAGTGGTATGCAAAAAATACTCCGACACAGTCGAATCCGGATACCAACTGAATGAATTTCGTAATGCTTTACAGCTTAGTACCTCATGTTATCCGCCGCGCTGTTGCCACTTTGATCGATATGAATTTTGTCAAATTTTAAATTTATTACAACGATAATTATTTTTTAGAATTAAGCATTAAGAAGTTCAAAAAAGTGATAAACATTGTATTATAAGGTATTCTATGCACGCAGTTATGTCAATATGCCTTAATTAGTCGAACTTTCGTACATCAAGTTGCAGATTTTGATAATTTTTTTTCTCGGAAATGGTTGAGTTTAGGACACATGTGATATAAGGTTCTTTTGTTTATTTTAATGTATTATATCGTCTTTTAAAATTAAGGCAATAAAATTTCTAACACCATGTAAACATTTACATTACACAAAATCACTTCACGAATACCTTCTCCTATACCGATATTCGGCCCTTATCGTTTCGCCGAATTAACGTGGCAGTTTGTTTTTTTTTCCCGTTTACCACCCTGTAATTTTGTACCAGGTGTAAAGTCAACTGGCAGTAGTCGCTTTTCAGAGGCAATACGGCTTTTTAACTGAACATCGGAGACTTGCCTCCGCTGCCCTTCGTAAGCCTTCGTAACAGGATTCTGCTTAAATTTAAAGCAGAAATTTAATTTTGTTGCCTTTTATGTATTTTGGATTAATTTAATGTATAGCATAATAGTATAGTTGATAAAGTAGCTGATTAATAAAAAATACTAGAAACATACACTGCTCAAAAAACACATAATTGTTTGTAAAAACTTGAAACGATTCAAAAATATATTTCATATCATTCAGATTAGTTACTAATTTTTCTTAAGTAATTTTTCATTCGCTCTCTAACAATTAATTTTGAAAAGGTAACAACTGGCAACGCTAATAGTGGACTGATACAACTTACCACACTAATTCCAGGTGGCCTGGAAATTGCAGTAATAAAATTATTTATAACTCGACTATTTATTTGATTTGAAAAAAAAGAATTTCAGATTCATATTCAATTGAACATGTACTATTACCCCTAAAAAACTAACCCCCACTTAAGGTTACACCCTGTAAAAAGTGACGAAACGTAGACATGTAAAAATACGTGCTTTCTTTGGAATTTGGTCTTAGTCAAGGCTGCTGGATCTTTATTTACTATTTATTTATTTTAATTGTCTTCTAGACATGGGTATAAACGGAGTAACCACCTACGCCTTGCACCCCGGAGCCATCAAAACGGATTTAGGGAGACATCTACTGGATTCGTCTTTGATGACGAACTTGTTCGTTCGGAGTATCGCCTGGACTTTCAAGACGCCACAGGAGGGAGCTCAAACTACCATCTACTGCGCTGTGGATGAAAAATGTGCCGACGAAAACGGGTTGTACTACGCAGAATGCGCTGTGAAGAAGCCAAACAGCGCGGCCTTAAACGAGGAGGACGCTAAGGGGCTCTGGGATCTCAGCTGGAAGATGGTGGGGTTGGATGAGAATTACGACCCATTTGGTAACTCCACAAAATTGTAAAATGGTTTACTGGCTTACACTTTAGGGTTTAGAGCACATATCAATTCATAAAATACTCTAATATTGACACATGACAGCACTGATATTTTTTTGTTTTATTTCTAGGTATTTTATATTATAAAGTGTGAATAAATGTTACTTATAAAGCATTTTTTTAAACAAAAAATAAACATATCAACCATACTCCTCGCTTGGAGAACTTAGGGATGTTATGATTGCATTTCACACCTCTTATAGTACCATCTAATGCAGATAATTATATTGAAACTTAAATTTAGATAAATCACTTTATTCTGTAACCATGGTGATCATGACTACAAATTTGTGGTCTGAATCTGTTGTAGTAAGCAGTGCCACTAGCGGCTGAGATGGGAAACAATGCAGTGTTTGTTCCTCAGTATGCGGTTCCATTTCTCCCAAGATTCAGTCAGAATATTCTCTTTTCACGCTCTCATTGGACCACAACAGTAAAAGTGGCGGCATTTGGTGTATGTCTATCCGAAAATCGTTTTGCATGGAAGCGAGAAGATGCTAATACATGCTGTCACAATACTCCGCCACATTGAACAGTGGCATAAGTCTTTTCGATCTGTAATGTACAAAAGTACATTGTTAATGTACTTTTTGGACGTGAGCATACGACATTACAACAGCTGGATCTTTCGTCGCCGTCGGTTGTCTCACCTATGACACACTGATGAGGACTAATAAGTCCGAAACTGGTATGTGCCTGGTGGGTTAAACCGACGAACGATCCTAGCTGTTGCACTAGATGTTGCGAGTATAATTCAATGCCGATCAGGGCATATAACCCGCGGAGTAGTTGTTTCTCGCAACACTGGCAATTTAAGTATAATAGAAATTTTCTACACATTATACAGGGTGTTAGAAGTTTGGTTGCCTTAATTTTAACAGACGGTAGAATACATTAAAATAAACAAAAAACCTTAAGTGATATGGGTCCTAAACTCAACTATTTCCGAGAAAAAAAAATATCAAAATCTCCAACTTAATGTACAAAAGTTAGATTTTAAGGAATGTGGACATAATTGCGTGCATAGAATACCATAAAATACAATGTTTATCACTTTTTTGAACTTCTTTATGCTTAATTCTAAAAAATAATTAGCGTTGTAATAAATTTAAAATTCGATAAAATTCATATCGAGCAGTGTGACAACGGCGCGGCGGTTTATTAACAGGAGGTACTAAGGTGTCCAGCAGCCACAATACACGCAATTCAGTTGGTATCTGGATTCGACCGCGTAGAAGTGTTTTTTGCGTACCACTATTTCCTTTTCTTGAGGTGTTTTCCAGTCAGTGCGCGAAAATTGGATTCGAAGGTGTCGTGCGTGCATCTAAAATGGTGGTGGGCATTTTGAGCATATGTTGTAGTTTGTTTTGTACCTGTGCGTTTAAAATTTATTGAATTTTGCTTTTTGGTAAGTACCTAAATTATTTTTAATACGTATGATTATTTGGACGACGTGAATCTTTGGGTACTTTAATTACGTATTTGAAAAATTTATTGATTAAAAGTTAAGTTCCTGTTTTAAGAGATTCATTAAAATTCAAGCTAAAATTTAAGCACAACACTATCTTCGTACTACAAAATCGATACATTTTATTTTATTTATTTAAAAACTGGAAAACTGTTTACATTTTTTCCGTAGGACAAGTCTGTTGCTTGTACACGTGGTGTGCATCAGCAAGTGCCCAATATTAATACTCGCTGTATTTTGTAAACTGTTAATCTTACGCCTCTGTAATATACAACTTTTTTGTTCATTTATGATTACTCTATCTAATGTTGAAGTAATGGCAGTCAATATTCGTATACCATGTATATATATTATTATTATTATAATTTTTTACCTTTAGCAAAAAACTTTTTTAGGGACGCCTATGAAACTCATTAAATTCTATTTCTAGGCGTTTTTATACATGTTCAGCTGATTTCGGATATTTCGGAAATACTACAACATTAATGTAAACAATAAACCACAGTAATAAGAGCATTATGAGAATCACAGTAATACCGAATAAATCGATATTATTTCGAATTAAAACAGTTGAAGTTATTTACTGGGGCGCTCGCAAGAAACTTACATTTTAATTAACACAATAGGTACTTTCGTCCAGCTACGTAGTGCTTTTAAATATAACAACTTCTTTCTTCAAATCAAATATATTGTTTTAACTTTTTTTGGTAATATTAATACTATTTTTATTTATTTATATAATGTTTTTGTCCTATAGTGAAATCAACAATTACCTGAAAAAAATATAAAATAGCATTACTAAAATTACAACGAAATACAATTAGATCGGTCAAATAGAAAACAACAAGTTATATTAATAAATATAAATATACAGGGTAGGAAAGTACCGATGGTCTATCTGAAGTTACGTGAGAGCGATAAAGTAAGCCATAGAAATCCATGCGATAGTGAAGGATGGCTATAATGAAGGCCTCTCATAGTCACCGCCCGTTTCGCCCTTCCACAAATAAGATCCACTTCTTATTTGTGGAAGGGCGGAATGGGCGGTGACTATTAGACGCCTTCACTATCCCCATCCTTGTCTATCACATGGATTTCTATGGCTTACTTTATCGCTCTTACGTAACTTCAGATAGACCATCGGTACTTTCCTACCCGGTATGTAGGTTATTTGGAACAGTATTTTGTCAATTTTTGTAAAATTAAAAATTATTAAAACAATAAGATCAAGGTTACGTTAGCAGACAACATCCTGTTTCATTAGCTGATGATTGGCATAATTTTTCTCACCGCTTTATTCAACCAATCAGCGGTCGAATCATCTCGAGCGTAGACGCAATGGTTTGCCATTGTTCATTGTAAACGAATTGTTAATACTGATGACGTTTAGAGATTTTTAGTCGACAGTGCCAATCGTGCAATATTGGTTGCCTAAGCTCGGCGGCTACGTGGCTTGTAATCATTTATGAAGGCTATGTAGGTAATTTTTCTCAAGACAGAACACAAACATTTAACGTTTCAACTAAATACAGGAGAACATACTACATAGAATTATAATGGCTTTGTCATAAAAATGAAGGGAAATTTTAAGGATACATATACTGATGGCAGCCGAAGAATAAAATGTAACAGTAGCGCCACTAGCAGGCCTTACTAAAAATCTAGTTGGTTAAAATTCTCTGGACAGTCAATATTATTGTGCAATAGGGCATATAAGAAATTGCGTTCTAAGTTGTAAGGAATCTGAACAAAATTCTTTAAAACGGAGTATAAGAATAATTTCAGAAACACATCATTCTCATGAAAGTAGCGACATTGTCTTATCACAACTCCCAGTGCCTTCAGCCTTGAAGAGACTAAATTCTGAATGTCGTTTGGGAAAATCAGTTTACTGTCAAAGGAAACTTCTAAATCCTTTACAGCGTCGATCCTCATCAAGATGTCTCAATCAGTTTCAGTTGAACTAAATGGGATTCATTTTGCGCTTAAATGACACAACTTTGCATTTAGATATATTTAAACTCAATTGATTTAAATCGCAGCATTCCACTACCCGATTTATCTGACCATGAAAGTGAACACAATTATCAACACTTGATACAGAAAAAAAAAATTTAAAATCGTCAGCATATATCAATTTATGGCAACTGGGAAAGGTAGTAATGTCGTTAATAAAAATAGGAAAGAGAAGAGGGCCCAGATTAGAGTCCTGGGACACTCCAGATGTACTAAGGCAACGGCTAGATTTAAATTCATTGCAAATGACGTAATATGCTAAATATGACCTGAAAAACTTTAACAAATTGTCACAACATCCATAAACGTCAAGTTTATGTAAAAGTATAGTGTATTGTATTCGATCAAAGGCCTTCGAAAAGTTGTTATATATTACATCCGCCTGACCGCGAGGATCAACGGTATTAGGAACAAACTAAGTGAAACAGACGAGATTTGTAATAATTTTTTCTATACATATATGCAATTCAAGCGAAATTTTTAATATCCACAAAGTAAGAGTACTGAGGCTTTGATGCTCTGTGATTTTTATTTTCAAGAAAGTTGGCAACACTGCATTCAAGGCCAAAATGTTGGGAGCAGATCGCGTCCATTTATCTCATTCAGTTGAGAACTGTTGTTGTAGTGGCGTGTTGCAATGAGTGCCGCTATTCCGGATCCCGCCAGGTAAACAATTCCTTGACTGTATTGTGACTGGTGATGAAGACAGTCAATGTCGTCTTCACCATCAGGGAAAACATTCAAAACCGTTGTTTCGGCCCGAAAAATCATGGCAACTGTGTTTTGGCATCGTAAAAGGACTTTCCTCAATGATTTTTGTCCCAGAGGGAAACGAAGAATGCTGTGCGGTTCTGTAAATCCCTGAAAATACTACGGAAGACAATACAAAACAAAAGAAGTGGGGGAGTGTGCTGGTTGCATGACAATGCACTTCTACACACAGCCAACGCCATAAAGCAACTCTTGGATTCATTTGGTTGGAACATCATCATTCACCCCGCTCACAGCCCTGACTTGGCACCTTCTGAGTTTGATCTTTTCTCTTCTCTGAAGGTGTTTATGGGTGGAACAAGGTTTTTTACCCACAATAAGGTCCACAGTGCCTTGAAACAGTGGGCCCGAAAGACGGCGGGAGATTTTTTTGGCGAAGGTATCAGAAAAGTTATTCACGAAGTGCATTGACGTCAAAAATAATTTTCGCTGTACCTTTCGGAATATGTATTTTTTTATAAATACACTACCGTTTCGATTTTTAAAAAAATGAGTACTCTTACTTTGTGGATATACCTCGTATCACTTAGTACATTCAATTACTTCTATGGCTAATATTCTTTACAAAAGTTTTTCCGTTACCTTCAATAATCCTTAAGTAAGATAATTATCGCAAAGCGCAAATCCTAAAATCAATATCCTTGACAACTGTTGGACAATCAGCTGTAGTCGCCTTATTGACTGGTTGCCGCTTCAGAAATGTGCCTCTTCAGCGCTAAATGTACATCGGAAGCGAGGTTGGACTCCAAGACGGCTGTAATCACAGGCGCTAACACAGGCATAGGAAAATGCACCGTGCAGGACTTTTATACGAGAGGTAAGTGAAAAGTACTATAGCTATTCATTAACCCTAGTTACTAATTTCATTTTCTTTATATAAATTATACATATTGATGCGCGACGCTGTTATGTTTAAAATATCAGAAGTGGGATATTAAAAACAATGGTGAATACAAGTTTCTTTTAGGATGTCGTGTCGTAATGGCGTGCAGGGACGTAGAAAAAGCCAAGCAAGCCGTGAACGAGATCAAGGACGCTTGCAAAAACCTAGAAAACTTAGGAACGATTCTAGTAATAAGACTAGACCTCTCTAGTCTCCAATCTGTTAGAGCTTGTGCTGAACAGCTTTTAAAAAGCGAAGAAAGGATCCATCTGCTCATCAACAACGCCGGTGTGATGATGTGTCCGGAAAGCAGGACTGAGGACGGATTCGAAACACAGTTAGGCACCAATCACTTGGGCCATTTCCTGTTCACTATGCTTCTTTTGCCCAGGATCTGCCACAGCGCTCCTGCTAGAATAGTAAACGTTTCTTCTATGGCTCATGACAGTAAGTGTCAGTAAACTGAGTAAGCTAAAGCTACTTTTAGGACATTATTTTTTTAGGTATCAGAATTGACCTTGGTGATTTGAATTGGGAGAAAAAGACTTATAATACTCTTAGCAGCTACCGACAAAGCAAACTGGCTAATATTTTGTTCACTAAAGAGCTTGCAAGTAAACTGGAAGGTACGAAAAACAACACTAATATAAGTATTTAATCTTTCTTCAATTTTCATATTTCGTCAGATCTAATCTTTAACCAACTTGCCTTGGAGCCTTTTCTTTTATTTTTTGAACTTAAACATGTATACAAACACGTTTTTTATTTTCCAAACATAGTCCGGTCAAAATAGACATTTCAAATAACGAACATTCCGACAGAGCTAAATTTTGGTGGAGACCTTAGGTACACCATTAGAAATAAAGTGTCAAAAGTCTCCATCGATCCCATGTGTGCTAAAGAAGTTATTCGGGGTCAAATGTCAAAATTTGAAGTTTTTTGAATTTTTTTCGGAAACGGCAAAAGTAGTCCCGACAAAAATTATAGATCTTAAAATTATCTACAAATGTTTATTATACTTTTTTTTTTCTCAGAATCACCATTACTAAGATATCGCGATTCTAATAGTTGAAGGAATCACGTTCTACATGATATGCACACATTTCCCCACCACCTGTGAGATAGTGTACTTTGGCGCATTTTTTTTAAGGTGGTTTCCCCGGTAGGCCTACTCCACAAACCGTTATGACGGAATTTTCAGGGGTAATACTTTTTTAACTGCTTGATGATTATTGATATTGATATTGGTTATTGACTGTAGTTCTGATTTCTTTTGATATTTTAATCTGATTCATACTCTTCAAAGTCGACTTCAACAGTCATGTCTTCTTATTCCTCTTCTTCTTGCTGGATGTTCACTAATTGTTCAAATGAAGATGAATCAGCTGTCTCTTCATCGAAATCACATGAATCTTCGTCTGTTGTATTCAATTGGACATTTGAGCAAGACTGCCAACTGACAACCCTACTCTTCTACAGCCACATTTAGCACTACAACCTTTTTTGCAATTGCATGAGTTTTTTTATTATCTGTTAATTTTCAACCCCAGTCTTCTGGGTGCAGTTGATTGCCTAGCCATGTTTGAACTTAATAGTATACTCGATACAAGTGTTGATTAGCAGAAGCCGATGTTGGAGGAAGACAAGATAGTTGTACTTGTTTCTTGTTTCGTGTATTTTTTACAAAAGTTTTTACAATAGAGTAGCCAGATGTTATTCAAGGCCATGCGGGTAGAGGGGATTGACTAAGGGACTGAGTTTCTTTCGAGTGTATATTCTCAAAATAGTATAGTTTATACATATAAATGACAGAAATAGGCATTTTACTTGTATTAAGTGCCTGACTATGTATATACGTGGCATATATGTGCATATCATGTAGAACGTGACTCCTTCAACTTTTAGAATCGCGATATCTCAAAAATGGTGATTCTTAGAAAAAAAAGTAACGAGCGTTCAAATAAAAACGTGGTCAAGTTGGTTCTGAAAATTTGGACGTAGGGCGTAGCGTATAGCAAATGAACTTAAACGTCATCTGTCAAAGCGCTATATCGCCGCTATCAATTTGAATATTTTCGTTTTAAAAAGCGTTTAAAATGGTGTTTTCTCAAGAACAAAAAGTGTTTATCATAGAGTCCTACTTTAGAAATGGACGCAAGATTGATGGAATATGGAAGTATTCTATTGAGGAATGTTTCATAGAATTTCAAAATCAATTTCCCGGCGTTGTTGAGTACAAAATTTTTCAAAGTGCAGTTCAGCGTTGTGTTAATGTTTTTCGTGAAACGGGCAGTGTAACAAGAAAAGAAGGAAGCGGCCGACCTAAAAAGCGGACTGAAGAATTAAAAGAAAATGTCCAACAAATAATGGAAAATGCGCCAAGAACTTCTGTACGTGTTTTATCACAAATGGTGGGAGTATCAGTCGGTACCTGCCACACAGTGTTAAAAAAAGATTTGCGTTTGTTCTCCTATCGTTTAACTTGTCAGCAAGAACTTCATGAAGTTGATTTTCCGCGACGGGCTGTATTTTGTGAATGGTTTTTAAACAACTACGGTGAACTTCATAATATCACCTTTTTTTCTGATGAAGCCTGGTTTCATTTAAGTGGTTACGTAAACTCACAGAATATGAGAATGTGGTCTTCTGAAAAACCAGATAACTTTTTTGTCGAGGGCCCTCTACACGCTCAAAAAATTGGAGTTTGGTGTGCTCTCAATCGAAGGAGGATTTATGGACCTATTTTTTTTAATGGTACTCTTACTGCGCAAAGGTATAGAGAAGAAATTATCGCTCCTTTTGTTAACCAGCTGGAAGAAAACGAAATTACAAACTTTTACTTTCAACAAGATGGCGCAAGGGCACATACGGCAGGCGAGACGATGAATATGTTGAGGGAAGTTTTCCAAAATCGACTAATAAGTCTCAATGCTGAACATGAATTTCCACCGAGGTCATGTGATATTACGCCGTGTGATTTCTTTTTGTGGCCTTACCTTAAAAACACTATTTTTGAACTGCCTATTCCTGATTTAAACCATCTGCAGGCTCGACTTATAGACAAGATTCGTGAAATTAACAATACCCCGAGCATCTTAGAAAATGTCTTTAATTCTTTGAGGAACAGGTGTGAAAAGTGCTTGGAACAAGGAGGGGGACACTTTCAGCAGCTGCTTTAATTTATTGTTATAACAAGGAGGGGGACACTTTCCGCAGCTCCTTTAATTGTTTGTTATTGTTATCACGATTATTCTTTAAAATAAAGTTATATAGTCATTAACGTTATTGAAACTGACAGCTGCTATACAGCTCGTTGAGAAATGAGGTTAAGTTGGTCGCTATAAGCTACTCCCTACGTCCAATGTGTCAGAGTCAACTTCGACCACGTTTTTATTTGAACGCTCGGTATAAGGACCATTTTTGTAGATAATTTTAAGATCTATTTTTGTCTGGGCTACTTTTTTGATAAAACTTACCGTTTTCAAAAAAAATCCAAAAAACCTCAAATTTTGAGCTTTGATCCGAATAACTTTTTTAGCACACATGGGATCGATGGGGACTTTTGACACTTTATTTCTAATGGTGTACTTTAGGTCTCCACCAAAATTTAACTCTGTCGGAATTTTCGTTATTTGACCACAATTTTTATGACTAATTTGACCGGACTAACATGTTTAAATTGTTTATATGAGACTAATGACATGACAGAGAACGAAACTACAATGGAAAATAACTTNTCGTTATTTGACGATTATTTTTATGACTAATTTGACCGGACTAACATGTTTAAATTGTTTATATTAGACTAATGACATGACAGAGAACGAAACTACAATGGAAAATAACTTCACATAATCACACGATAATAGTATATTGCTTTTGTATGACTTTGCGACGTGTTATTTTAAAGTTACCATATTTTTTTTGTCAATACGGACGAAACACCTACAATTTAAAAAAAAAATCGAGAATTTTTAAAAAATTCATCTTTGCAACATTTATTAAATATTAACTAATATTAATAGGTATGTTGAATTTATGTTTTAAAATTATTTTCTTTGCTGTCCACAATAAAAAATAAATAAAAGCACCGATACAATTAACTTTGTATCTGAGCAAGATCGCTCAGCCTTAGCAAGATCGCTGTGGGTGCTCGAATACCCCGAGCCCCGAGGTATAGGCGCCTGTGGTAACTATATTTTTCTTCCAGAAAGAGGCGTGTCCGGTGTAACTACTTACGCCTTACACCCTGGGGTTATCCAAACAGATCTTTGGAGACATCTAAAGAGTTCATTTTGGGTGATAACTTTACTCCTTCGTATCTTCTCTTGGACTATAAAAACGCCCCTACAGGGAGCCCAAACCACCATCTACTGCGCCGTAGACGAAAATTGCGCGGATCAAAGTGGACTATACTACGCAGAATGCGCTGAGAAGGAGCCTTCGGAGTCGGCTCTGAACGAGGAGGACGCCAAGGGGCTCTGGGATCTCAGCTGGAAGATGGTGGGGTTAGACCAACAGTATGATCCTTTCTTTACTCCCGCAAAATAGTACAGAGTACAGTGTTTGTCAGTCAGTGCCAATACTATAAGCTCGTGGCTCGTTACAAAACATACTTTTCCAAAATTCCTCAGAATATACGTACTTATACTGTTTTGTGTCATCAGAATTGCTTAATGAGTAAATAAAAAAGAAATACAATTTAGTTGTCTTTACTCGCTTGAAAAAAGATGCTATCAAGAAACCAAAATGTTTCAGGACAATTTTGGGGTGTTTCTCGGTTTTTAAGAAAAATTGAAAATTGACGATAATTTTAGTAGTTTCCTGTGAAAATTTGATGGTGCCACAGTGAACCGTTTTCGAGAAATTAAATATTGTGCCTTGTGGCTGCAAGCCTTTTCCATCCCCTATGGAGGCTTGTAAGGCGGTCTGTGTTATACAGGGTGTCCCACCGGGAACTGCATCGATTTACCAACAGCATTGGTAAACCAACAAATTAAAACATTTAATACGAGGTGTTTCATTTTTGCTGTTACATTTTGATAACTTCAAATAGCTATAACTTTGTTAACATAAATGGAATACCCTGTTATTTTTTTACTCTGGTATATAGATTGAAATTTCATTTCAAACTGTATAAGCATTGTTAGCGTTGAATTTCCTACTTTTAGAGATATTTGCAATTTTCTATTTTTTGGACACTTTGGCTCATATCAGACCTGTTGTCGAATTGGTATGTCTGTAACAGTTTTTGCTGAAAATTTAAATAAAAATGCCAGGGGATCGTTTAAATTATACTAATGAGGATTATTATAATTTGTTTGTTATTTATNTGCGCTGAGAAGGAGCCTTCGGAGTCGGCTCTGAACGAGGAGGACGCCAGGGGGCTCTGGGATCTCAGCTGGAAGATGGTGGGGTTAGACCAACAGTATGATCCTTTCTTTACTCCCGCAAAATAGTACAGAGTACAGTGTTTGTCAGTCAGTGCCAATACTATAAGCTCGTGGCTCGTTACAAAACATACTTTTCCAAAATTCTTCAGAATATACGTACTTATACTGTTTTGTGTCATCAGAATTGCTTAATGAGTAAATAAAAAAGAAATACAATTTAGTTGTCTTTACTCGCTTGAAAAAAGATGCTATCAAGAAACCAAAATGTTTCAGGACAATTTTGGGGTGTTTCTCGGTTTTTAAGAAAAATTGAAAATTGACGATAATTTTAGTAGTTTCCTGTGAAAATTTGATGGTGCCACAGTGAACCGTTTTCGAGAAATTAAATATTGTGCCTTGTGGCTGCAAGCCTTTTCCATCCCCTATGGAGGCTTGTAAGGCGGTCTGTGTTATACAGGGTGTCCCACCGGGAACTGCATCGATTTACCAACAGCATTGGTAAACCAACAAATTAAAACATTTAATACGAGGTGTTTCATTTTTGCTGTTACATTTTGATAACTTCAAATAGCTATAACTTTGTTAACATAAATGGAATACCCTGTTATTTTTTTACTCTGGTATATAGATTGAAATTTCATTTCAAACTGTATAAGCATTGTTAGCGTTGAATTTCCTACTTTTAGAGATATTTGCAATTTTCTATTTTTTGGACACTTTGGCTCATATCAGACCTGTTGTCGAATTGGTATGTCTGTAACAGTTTTTGCTGAAAATTTAAATAAAAATGCCAGGGGATCGTTTAAATTATACTAATGAGGATTATTATAATTTGTTTGTTATTTATGGAAAAAACAGCAGATTTTCTACATGTTCTTGAAATTACTTTGTCACATTTTCCATAAATAATAAAAAAATTATAATAATCCTCATAAGTATAATTTAAACGATCCCCAGGCATTTTTATTTAAATATTCGGCAAAAACTATTTAGACACAACAATAATTTGACAACTAACTTGACAAATGTCATGTTATTTAAATTGTTTTTGAAGTGTTTCTGGTCATGGCCAATTTGACAACAGGTCTGATACGAGAAAAAGTGTCCGAAAAATAGAAAACTGCAAATATCTCTAAAAGTAGTACAATGCTTATACGGCTTAAAAGAAATTTCAATCAGCATAAGACAGAACAAAAAAATACAGGGTGTTCCATTTAAATTAACAAAGTTAGAGCTGTTTGAAGTTATCAAAATGTAATAGCAAAAATGAAACACCTAGTATTAAATGTTTTAATTTGTTGGTATACCATAATGTAGTGTTACGTATAACCTTTACAGGTACCAACAATCCGATTGACATCACGCTCCTGAAAAGAGTTACTAGCATCTCCGCGGATCCTTGCATCTGTAAAATTTTTTCTTTAAAAATTAATATCTCAAAATCTATAACTCCTAGGTATAGGGAATATTTAATAAAGTGACCTTCAAATTTCACGTAGAATCCGAAAATGCAATAATATATAAGGTGTCCCATTTAAAATAACGAAGTTGTTGTCAACTTCCGATATAACCGGAAGTGTTGGAAAGTTCTAGATATTTTAGTTGTGTTCTCCCCAGGGACGTTGCTATGTTGCCAAATTTTTAAATTTTTCCTAGATATCGATCGACGCAGTTCCAGGTGGGACACCCTGTATAGTCGCACTAGTCAAATTTTCTTGGTAATTTCGCTGAAAATTTGGTGGATGGCGTCCCAGAAATGGTTTTTTTATTCCCCAGCTGTCACTCCGTTAAAGTGGTTTCTCTTGCATCGCCGAATTAGTCAGAATATGGAATATGGTACCTTTTATTAAAGATGTAATGATTGTCACAATGAACCGTTTGTAAGATAATAATATCATTTTGCTTTTGCGTTTTATCTCTTTTTAATCTGTAAATTTCTTATTGTCTTATTTCCTAACTGAGCTAAAAATTAGAAATTTTGAAGAGTAATGACAAACGCGTGTTTCCGAAAATATGAGATGTTAGAACTATGTAATTAATTATGATGACCGCTCTTCTACGTCTACGCAAATGATTAAGACATTCGGATATCTTCGGAAACTGATGGCAACTGATGCACCCCTGGTTGCCTATATTATACCGAAAAGTAGTAGAAAACAGCCCTTTTTTATTCCAATATATCTTTTTAAAGCAATGGAAGAAAGTAGTAAAATTTCATATCACATTTGGCGAAGTATAAACGAAGACAGTAAAGTAAAAATTAATTGAGATAGGTAAATAATTCGTGAGAAATTAATTTCTAAATATGAAGGTTTTTTAGACTTTTGCAAACAAACGATTATTTCTTCATAGTATTATAGAATTGTGCAATTTTTTATATAATTGTCTTTTAATAAATACACTGATTAGACTTTATTTCATAGTTTGTTCAACACTTTATTATTTAAAAAGTTATATTGGAATAAAATTATTAAAAAATATTTATTCATAAATCACATTGTCTGACCGTTAATTCGCTTGATTTGTAATAGATGTCGCACTAGTAAAAATAATTTTTGAATGGACTAGGGTTATTTTTAACGAACAGCTGTTGTATTGTGGTCAATTTGGTATAACCTGATTCTGAATTGGTAGTCATGGTTTCTGCTAATTGATACGTAAATATTTGAAGAATGTCATGATCATTTTAGATATATTATTGTATAAAAGTATATAAGTAACAGTGCAAGTCCATACTATTATATAATTTTAGAAAATATGAAATATAAACAATTTTTAGTTTATTTAAAACCATAATTTATAATTAATATACCTATATTAGTATCTACGGTTAGTGGATAAGAGGGAAAACATTTTTATTTTCTATTCTACTAGAAAAAGTAATTCGTGACAAAAAATATTTTGCTTTTTAATTGAATATGTTTGTCATGAAAAACTGTAATTTATATATATACAGGGTGATCAGAAATTTAACAAAATTAATAACGTTGAAGAATAAACTGCTTTTGTTTTTGATAATATAAAAAAATGTTAATAAGAAAAGTTGTTCATAACGGAAAGTTATGTTATAATTACGATTTGTGAATAAAGCGGCTTACTTTGGTATAAACAGAAATGGAAAATATTATATTTTTAATAATTAATATTAAGTAATTCTTGATAAAAAAAATTTGCATATTAATATAAATAGAATTTTAATTGTGAATATACATAATAATGAGAAAATATAAAAAATATGTACGATATACTTATTTTGTCCAAAAAATGTGTAAAGAATTATGTACAAAAGGACGATTTGAGACTAAATTTTTTTTATGAGAAATAGGTATTCAGTTCACTTCACTTGAAAAAATAGTTGTAGGTACTTTAATACCTCCAATATAAACAGAAATTCTGTGGAACAGTGTAGTTTAATAAATATGTAAATAAATGAAAGTAATAAAGAAATAAATAGAATAGGTACAGTAGAACAGGAAAAAATTTAAAAAATCATAAAATAAAATTATTTCTTTTTATTAATTTGAGTTTCTATAATATATTCTGGATCCATACATCTTTTTCCCTGTGGAATATTTTTGTATATTATTTCTGGTAGTATACAAATTTTATAAAATTGTTCCAAATTTGTTGCCATTGATTTTTTCCATAATTCTTCATCTTTCTTAATTTGTTCTACATAGAGCGGATTGTTTTCACCACTATAGGTATATTACGAAATAACATATAGACTTCTTCCGGTTATATTTAACTGTCTGTATCTGAAAGTAAGAAAAGAATTTTACCAGATAATATTTGTTATAAACATAGATAATTACATTTTTACCTATTATGCTTTTGATTTACCATAATGATATATCTACTCATATATAGGGTGCCAGAGTAGTGCGATAAAGTTTAGTATAACTTCCTGTAGTAGTGATACGAAAAAAGTTATTTGCTCAGATTCACATTTTATTATTATTATTTCCATTATTCATTATTTTCAGACCGAATTAAACATTCAGAAAATCTTGTTTTTGGCCTGAAGATTTTGCCCTATACAACTATAACTGAAAATAATTATAAACTTTGTCACACTATTGGAACTGCACTGTATGTGCATTGCAACAACAATGTCATATTTTATATTACGGCAAACTAAGCAGAAAGTCCATTATTGTCGCATATGTAATTTTTATTTTCAAATATGTAATCAAATACAATATCTAGATATTTTATTTTAATACCTATTATTTACTTGAATTTAGTACTAAATACAACTATGCCTAGCAAATTGTAATACTTCCTCTGTTAATGCTTTTTCTTTCATTTAAAAAATAGTAAAGTCCACAAATAAAATATTTCGCAGCCACAACGCAACAAGATCCACACAAGAAATAACCATATTCGCACCTGCTCTAGTCCAAATCCATATAAGTACTAAAATGTAGAATATGAAATAAAACCTTTAGTTGGTTGCAAATGTTATAAATTTGTACAACCACTTGACATCCTCCTTTTATGTCAATATGTACATAACAATATGTAAAGGATAGAAAATAAAAATATTTTCAGAACAAAAAACCGGCGACCGCAAATTGGAGTTTTTATTATTTTATTACCTTTCTCTTTTCGTATGCAATTATTCGATAGCAAGCGAGTGGGATGGACGTATAGGCCGGACAACTCATCATCGTGCACGTGCACGTGCACCTGACGTACCGTCATTTTCTCGTTTTTTGTTAGGTGTATTTTGCCGGAATTTGAAAGAATGAAATAATCGTACTATTTTTACTAAAACGTATTTCCTGTAGCGACATCTATATGAATATTGTGGTACTTTGTTAAATGAAACGGGACTTCAATTTCCGTTCTTACGAACGTAAATTTTGGTGACCTTCCCTAATTGCATTATATGTTTGTACCTTTGTTAAAATAATTCCGTAAAAGCATTCAGTGTTGATCTAGTTATAGTAGTAATATGAACTTATTTAGAGCGGAATGTTCTTCCAAGGCCAGATTGGATGGCAAAACCGCCGTAATAACAGGAGGTAATGTGGGGATTGGGAAATATACTGCCCAAGATTTTTACGTAAGGGGTGAGTAAAAATTTGTATTGATAAAAATATATCCCCTTTATTTAGTAACAATATAATTAATCAATTTGTTTAAGAACTATATGCTTTAAAAAATTATTTAGGAAACAGTTTTTTCGAAGTATTTTATTTAATTTTTGGTATATTCTAATACTTTCCTTAAATTTCTATTTTCAGTTTTCATAAGTTTTTTCGCATCAAAACAACTATTAGCACAGACAAAATATTTAAGATTATGTGATATTAATGCTAATATTCCAAAACAGTTTTGTAGACGCGAGCAATAAGTTTTTGTGCTCAGCAATTTTAAATATAGTACAAAACTAGAACGTAAACTACTTAAAAATTGATTACGTACTCTGTAGATCGACTGAACTACATTTGTTATTTGCAATAAGTCGATATAAAATTAAAAACTGAAATATATATTTATTTTTTATTTTTAATCTTTTCTTTATGACGAAATTATTTTACAGTTTCATAAGTGTAATATACAGGGTGTCCGGAAAGGTCATGTCAAAAATGAAGAGTAATTAGGGGAGGTCAAAATATTTGCAATACTTCATAAACCATTTTTTACTATCAGGCTTCGTTGTGGAGTCATTCGTCTTCAAAAAAATAAGTTTGAAAAACAAATTCTAATTATAACTTCTAAGTCGTTACCATCACAACAATGAAATTTGGGCACTTAAAGTAACTCATGGTAACGTTCATTTCGAAATTTAAACTGGTATTCAATATGCCTGATGGATTATACAGGAGCAAATAAAATTATCCATCCTTGACAACATTGCCAAATTTGACATTTCATAGTTCCATTCCTCTTTCATTTTGCTAAAAAAAGGTACACCGTATATCAATCGCTATCTTGTACCGTTTTTGAGAAAATCGAATTTTATTAACAACGTACATTTATATTGTATCAAAAATGTAATACCTACTAACATTTTTGTAAAAATCTTGGTTTCTATAGAATTAAAAGAAAAAAGAGAACTGTTAAGTAAGATGTTCAATATGTGCACCTTGAACTTCAATGCATTTTCTGAAATTGCTCAAACACCTCTGCTACTACAAGGATATCTTTTTGTTTTTACGTTTTACTTGGGATTGTCAGTAATAGAATAATATATGTTTTATAAAATTAAATATATGATATAACCTCATAATATTTACGAGCAACAAGTTCGTAATATACATATATTAGACAACAAAAAAAAACAGAAATTTTACAACGTACATATTTATTTGAATTTATATATATATAATATATTAAAAAACAATGTCAATCTTTACTACAAATACTAATTTCAAACACCTCTAGTACTGTTTAGTTTTACCTTATCACAAGTTTCACTTCTAAGAATATCATTAAATAGGTATCCATAGGTATTTAAATTAATCACAAAGCGCTAAACACTTTCCAAATAAAAATTACAACACAAATTTTCTTGTTGTTAAAGTACAATTAAAAATACATTAAATAAATCTATAGTTCTAACTCATTTTTCTCTAAAGTCTAGAGCGGAACACAAAAATGTAAGTTCTTGTTTTTGGTGTATGTCCTTGTTAATGTTTGTTTAATAAAAAGCCTTTTTTGCAACCAAAGGATAGAAAATAAATAAGTATCTGAAGGCAACTTAAGCATCTTAAGTTAATGTCTTTGCAGGCAAAATTATTTCCTGTAATATTGGCAAACCTATTTTTATACCCTGCGATCCATCATTGACATATTTATTAAAGTTTATGCAGATACTTTTATTAATTAACCATTTTAAGTATTCTATTTTAATTAGTACAAATTTTGTTTTTACTTCTCTAATAAATGTCATTTCCTCGCTTAAACATACAGGGTGTTTCTGAAATAAGTATGTTCGTTGAAAAGGGTGATAGAGGGACGAAAATGATCAACTTTTATTAAACAACTGATGGACTAAGTGCTTCTGTTTTCGAAAAAATTAATTACGAAAGTTAACCATAAATGTAAGCCGACCCTGTGCATCTTGTGCACGTGCACGGCCATAATGCTTCGGACTCGCTACATGCATGAAGCGCTTATCTAATTGGCTGACGTTCCATGTGACTCATATGATCCTCACGTTGTACAGAGATATCTGTTCCAGTAACGGTATGCAGTGAATGTATGGTGTGGTGTTTTTGGTGACAGATTACTTGGACCGATAGTGGTACCTGCACGTTTAAATGCTGCTTATTTAGAGTTTTTACCAAACGCCTTACCGAATTTGTTGCAAGACGTCCCTTTAGAAATCCGTACCCAAATGTTCTCCATGCATGATGATGCCCTTCTCCACGTTTCTCGTGCAATTTTCCTTTTAAGTCCTGTCGCAATTTTAATAAAGTGCCCTGGAACTAAATCAGAAGCGGGATTTAAATTATATCTGTTTAGAAAAAAATTATTTACATTTACTTACAGGTGGGCGCGTTATATTGGCTTGTAGGAACCTGGACAAAGCCAACCAAGCCGTGGCCGACATCAACCAGGCTTGCAAAGAACTGGAAAACCTCGGGACACTCCTAATTGCAAAGTTAGACCTAGCCAGCCTCAAATCGGTTAGAGATTGCGCCGCTAGACTATTAAAAAACGAAAAAAGAATCGATCTGCTGATCAATAACGCGGGGGTGATGATGTGCCCGAAAAGTTTGACTAAAGATGGGTTCGAGATGCAAATAGGGACCAATCATTTGGGTCATTTTTTATTTACTATGTTGCTCTTGCCCAGGATTTGCCAGAGCACCCCCGCTAGAATTGTTAACGTTTCTTCCTTGGCTCACTATGGTTATGGTAACAGTTTTTTTCTTGTCATTCTTTGCTTTGCGCACCACGCATTTACTGATTCTAGGTGGTAGAATCGACCTTGCGGATTTAAATTGGGAGAACAAAAGATACTTTTCTTTGATAAGTTACATTCAGAGCAAACTGGCGAATATTTTATTCACTAAAGAACTAGATCGCAAGCTGAAAGGTACATATAACAAAGTGTTGTTCTAGGTGATATTTTTTCCGTAATATATTGCACTGAGTTGCATGGTGTATGACGTCACGTGGATAGTGATCTAAGTGATTCATTAAAAATAATTTATGGCAGTAACAGTTCCAAAATCAAAATAATTACGTAACCTTAAGTATTATCAACATGACTTGAGCAGCATTTTCAGAATATTTCTTGGATTCCGACATATTAATTGACAGAAAATACAGTTGCAATTATTCGGTGACTTTTATTCTTTTAAGGAGTTCGTTGGAGTTAATTCTTAAAGTTGAAAACCTCATTTGTAAGTAAAAATATAATGAAACCTCCTATATTTTAAAATGCCATGCACAAATCCAGGCATCTTTTGGGTTAAATATTTTTACATCTGTAAGCTTTCACCCAGATGTTTAAAATGTTTATCAATTGGGAAAATGGAAAACATTATGTTTTTATTAAAGGATCTGCTTTGGTTGTCTGTTGTACACCCAAAAACAGAACAAAAGAAGTCATTATACACACACTAATGTCAATAACAATCATATGAATCAAAACATTTATATAAATCTACCACAAACACATAAAGTATAAATATGAAATTGATATTTAAAAAAAATACGACATGAAACTAAAAGGTATATACGTTAGCGTAATAGCTGTTTTGCATTGACAATTTATTGATCAATTAATTCATGAAGTCGCTTCATCAAGAAATTAGACAAGTGTAAAGCACCAAATGTGCTGTCAAATAACTTCATGAATTTATTCATCAAGTTCTTGACGAATTAGAGCATGTTCTAATTTTCGTCAATTTCTTCGTGAAGTTTGGAAGTACCAACGAAACAGATTTCCAGCCTCAGATCAGTAATGAGGTTATGTTATTGGAATTTGTAAATAATTGTATGGTGTCGTACTAGTTTTGCATTGTTTTTACTGATTTGTTACTTACAAACACTAATATTTATATAATATGTGTCAAAACGTTGTATCACTACAATTATATGAGTGGAAAGGTGACATTTTTGAAATTTATTTGCTTCTTTGATTCATTGGTAGAACTAATTCATACGTCAAAAAACTTGACAAAGTCTGTAGCAGTGTAAAACCACACTGTTTACAATAAATTCGTGAATTAATTCATGATGAACTTCGTCAATTTATTCATGAATAAATTGTCAATGTAAAACAACTATTATTAACGGTAGTGCAATCTGGCACGTACAATATCCACAAATCGCTATTTGATATCCACGTGACGTCATAACATGGCCGCGGATATGGACAATATCATAATAATCATAATCTTAGTCTTAGTTTGTATAATAGGTTATGTTATTATTTTTCAGAAAACGGCATATCTGGTGTAAATACTTACTGTTTGCACCCAGGTTGTGTCAATACAGATCTAATAAATAATTTGGAGGCATCGTTTTGTATCATGGATTGGTTTTTCCGATACGTCGTTAGAAAATTCCTGTTAACGCCGCAACAGGGCGCCCAAACCACCATCTACTGTGCCGTGGATGAAAAATGTGCCAACGAAAGCGGGCTGTACTATACAAGCTGTTCCGTAGCGACGCCGTCTAGCGCGGCCTTGAACAAAGAGGACGCCAGGGGGCTCTGGGATCTCAGCTGGAAATTGGTGGGGCTGGACAAAAATTATAATCCCTTTGTTGACCCCTCTAAATAGTGGCTTTTCAATATAGGATTTCCACTTAATCATATATTTGCGTTAGAGGTAAATAACACCAATACATTAAAAAAATAATAGGAAGTTTATTATGTAGTTTTCTTCATCCAAAAAAAAATTAAAATTAATGTAGTTCAAAGTTCGATCAATTGACCAGGGCGTTTCATTTCATTCTGTGTAATGTACTTTTTAGTTCACTTCAATGTACTTTTCTGCTCTCACGGAGCAAAAGTCTAAGTGGCTTATTTTATTTTTTTTACCAAAAAACTTACTTTTACAAAAAATAGAACAAATTTGTTCTAATAAATCGTGCTTAAAACGGAAAAAATCTCCCTGTTTGAAGAACAAAGAAATCTACAGAAATGAGGGGAGAATATTTTTCGCATGAAAAACCCTCTTTAATTTTTGACGAGGTATCACTTACTTAATTTTTAGTCCTTATTTATTTGCACCCTGTACACCATAAAATTGCCTTCACCTTTCAGAATGTATCAATGACACAAATGGTTCCAGAAATACAGAAAACCGTCTTAGCACACCATCTTTGAATAATCAGAACATCCTTGGAACACATTTTGAAATTTACGAAACTCTTCTTTTCGCGTATAGAACCTCCTTTCGAATATTTGAGGCCACCCTGTATAAGCGATTTTATCGACGTTTCAGTAGATCTAGATACCCAGATCTGAAACAAAATCATCGAAAATCTTGCAAAAGCTCACGCGAGGTGGCAGCACGTAAGTTAAAAGATTTCATTTCGTGTTCAAACTTTAATTTTTTATGTATTTTTGATACATTTCTGTTTTATTTTCAATCTGAATTGATCGGGAATCGCGCAAAGTGTAAATTGCATAGTTTTACGAGTGATTTTGTTGTTGACAGTAGAAACGATTTGATAAATATCTAGTGTTAGTACTGTTAGTGGCTGCAGAACTGTTCATTGCATGATGCTAAGCTTATCATAGGCGTAGGTAAGTAGTTTGAAAATGCCATGTAATTAATATTAATTTAGTTTGTAGTTTTCATCTCATGTAGAGTTCAAGAGTTTTTAATTTAGGTATTGTATTCCGATTCGTGAAATACTTACTTGTCTTTTCCACAAAGAAAAAGTCACAAAAAACATATTTTATATTCTTTTGCATTTTAATAGAGTTTTTAGTAGGCTTGCCAACTTGTTTTGAGGAAAATAACGTAACTTACATGTTTTTTTTAAAAGAGGAAAAAGAAGAAAAAGAAATATTTATACATATTTATTTGTACTTTTAGCACAAGCTAACAATTTTTGGTTATCTTTGAAAGTTTGCTAGCTATAGTAATACATTTTTTATTAAATTTATGGAAGCTGTTTCTTTCTTCTCGCCACTACATGCATCACCCAAAAAATTCATTCAGTGAAAGCTGAAGTAGCGGGAACAGAGAACAGATAAGAATATTTTTTTTATATTTGGTAAATTGTCACACACATTTTTAAGTGTACTTATTGCCATTTTTCAGAAAATTCATTGTCATTATTTGTTAATTGCCCTTTGGATTTCTTTAAGTCTTATTGATTAGGAATATAAATCGTCTATTCTAATAATTAAAAGGTATTTGTTGTAACTTTAGCTTTTCAATTACGTTTTCAACAAGTTTAAATTCAACCTCATTCTTTAATGACAGGCTATTGAGTATTGCACAGCAGTTATTGTTAGCAGTATGTATTCTGTTCCTCTGTTGGCAACATATAATTGGCAACATATAATTGGCAACATATAATATGGCAACATATGATTGGCCATGAGAAAAGCACGGATTTTCTAAATCTAAGCCACAAATTGTCATTGTTTGACCTTGTGACTTATTAATAGTCATAGCAAATGCCAAGCGGATTGGAAATTGCAGAAGTTTGTACGGTATAGGCGAATCTGAAGGAATCATTGGGATCCGTGGTAGAAGTACAACTTCACCTTGAAATTTTCCACTCAAAATAGTGACCAGTCTCGTGCCATTACACAATTTCGGGGTATTCAAATTTCAAAGCAAAATTATAGGTGAGCCACTTCAATCGCAAATTATGTGGTGGCATTCTAGGTAAATCCAGTGAATTTAAAAACTCTACAGGATAGTTGACAACTTCATCAGGATCAACAACAGTGTCAATCGATTTGAATGTAATTTCATTATCAGGCAATGATTGTTGTATTTTGAAATTGATTACGTCAACATCTAAATTTTTTGCGGCTAAAATCACTCGCTCACGTAGCCATGCATGATTAGTATAATTATGTCGCAAATCTGGAAATATACTTTTTATTAACTCATCTTTGGTAGCCACCATGTTGCAAAAATTCTCTGGGAGTCGAATATGTTGTGTATCTTCATACAATTGAATTTTACCATTGCCAATGTCTAACAATTGTTCAGAGAATCCTGACGCTAATGGATCATTTTGAAGTTGAACGCGCATATCAAGAGTAACCAGACAGCAGCAGTAGAGCACAACTGTATAGCGTACTATTATCTTTGATATCTTTCAGGGACCTGTCGAGAGCTTCAAGCGAATGCTTGTGGGCCATTGTACATTCATCCCAGATAATAATTTTGCATTTTCTCAAAACTTCAGCCATGCCTGAATGTTTCTTTATGTTACACATTGCTTCGGGATCTGTATGAATATTCAAAGGTACTTTAAGTGCTGAATGCACAGTCCGTCCACTATCAAGTAAGGTTGCTGCAATCAACAACTTATAAATAAAAAATTAATTAAAACAATTTAAATTGGACCGAATTGTAAATCTAAACTATTCTCGAATCCACCTGAAGACACACAAAAAATTTCATTAAAATTGGTCCAGCCGTTTAGGAGGAGTTCAGTGACATACACACGCACAGAAGAATTATATATATTAAGATAAGGTGAGAAGTCCTTACAAAATGTCACATTTATACCTCGGTTTATACTTACTGTTTTTTTGCTTTAAATAATGTGGCGTTGAATTGTATTTCTATTAAGGAAAAATGCTGCAACTATGTAGATATGAATCGCTTTCTTTATTAAAAATTACAGTTACCCCTTTTTTACTATTTAACATGAAGTGTACCTATCGCTTTTTGCTTTTTTGAATATAATTGTTTCTTTGTAATTACAGATATTTGTAGATTAAAAAAACCATCAATCAAACCAGTAAGACTAAAACAAAAAAATATACTTGCTGCCTTTTATTAAGAACGTTATAATCACTTTGCTTTACAGATAAAAAGCCGATTCAAAAAAGGAAATGTAAGTATCAGATTTCCTTAGATAAACTATATAATGTATCCAAATACCTAGTATAAACAATGCTAGTACTGTTTCTATAAGGATTACAAAAAACATTCAAATGAAATTATGATTCATAAAAAAATATTCGAATTTGTAAAATATATTTATGAATTCCGAGGGAAGAAGAAAACAACTCGTCAAATTGCCCATTCTTTATTTTATGTAAAATAATAAATATCTGTATATACATCTCACTTAAAACATTACACATATATACATTACAAAAGAAGTAAAAAAAAACATAAAAAAATCCAGACTTTAAAATCGGCCTCAAAGAATAAGTACATTTTGAACGAATAAGAGAACTAACACAAAGAAATCATATTTACAAGTGCTGTACAGTAAAAAAAGAATAAAAAAACACGTCTTATCTCCATCCTCGGCATCCTACGCGTTATATTTCGGCCAGCGTCCCTGTTAGAACGACTTTAGGCCCTGGTTAGACGACGTGATTCCGCAGGAATACTTGCGGAACCGGGATCTAGGTGTGCAAGAATTGTTAAAAAGTGATTTTGACAAGATTCCATAATACTAAAAGGTTACAATTAGATATCCACAGGGTTATCACAAAGTGTGTGGGTCGTTTCCTCGCTCGCTCACAGTCATATGGTCAAAACCCCGCGGGTTCTCTACCCAGAGGGCGTTGGTTTGCACAGGATGTCCGGTCCGGTTTCATATCGTATAGTCATTCATCTTTCTCTTCAGCTGGCCACTGCCCCCAAACTTGTGCTTCAGCTGCTGGTAGCAGGTCAGCCGGGAGCAAGCGTATTCCTTAAGAAAACAAACGTCGTCAAAATACAGGTTGAAAAAAAAAATGTCAAGGAGTATCACAGATTTTTGGGATGAAAATAAGGCTTTTTTATATGAAGATATAACCTACAAATATATGTTAATATATTTACTGACAAAGAGTAACCTGTTAATCTGAAGGTGCTATGAAAGCATGCCTTGAGTCGCATTAGGCAAAATAAACAATTTAACTAATGATATTGAAGAAAAGAAGTACTCTACAAGCTACATGACTCAACCAGCATTGAATTACACCCTAATATCTAGTAAACCGCTAAGATCATTCGTCACTGGCATCACCGGATGCGCAATGGTTTTTTTTCTTTTGATAAAGCGGTTTTGTTACAAAACTTAAACCTTCACATCATCTTACCCAATATCCGAAGGGTATCTTTGACGTTTCGGCATTGACGAGACCCCACATTGCCCAGAAGAAGTGCGAGGCCAAGGCGAAAACCTCCACCTCTTTCATGACCTCGTTGGGGTTTTCTCGTGAGCCTCTCTCATCTAAATAGGCCCTGATGAACAGCTGTCTCTGTTCCTCAGTGGGGTAGTTGGAGCAGTCCTCCCTGTAGAAGGGGTGGTTGGGTTCGGTGTAGTCGTACATCCATTCGACGAAGTGATTGGCGATGTCGAATGAGCGGTAGTTGTATGAGCAGTACTCGAAATCTGAAATGCATAAAATTATTAATGAAAATATAAATTAAAAAGTATTTTTAGGCTTTCGAAAAATTATAGGCGACTATTATGGATCGTTTAGTCAGCGGTTCTCAAACATTTACGATTTAAAATATCGGGCGGTTCCTAAACTTTTTTGTCTAAATGTTCAATAATGACTTACCGATAATCACAATATTGGGTTCCGAGTTGTTATTGCTCTGGTCCTGTTCCTGGTCCATGTTTATGAGGATGTTACCCTCCTGCATGTCATTATGACAAAACACGACAGGGCTGCTCTCACTTTCCAACCTCTTCCTGAGCCATTTGATCTCCGACCAGAGGTCCATCCTGTCCAAAATCGACTTGGCAAATTCGGGGGCGTTGGCTAAGAATTTGGTATCGCATTTATGCACCCACTTCTCTATGGTGTTCCACAACCATGTCGGTTCTTTATGCAAAGGCACCTGAAAACGTCGTAAATCACATTGTAGTCACCTTTCTCAAAACCGAACAATATCATTATTATATTAAGTAATTCCAACAACATGTTTTTTGCAAGACTTGTCTACGTGGGAAGGTAAATTTTGAAGCGCTTTACATAGACAAGAATGAATATGAGATTGGGGGGGGGGGTTATGTACAATGGACTTGAATCGTTGAAAGTAATAATTTTTTTTGTAGGGTGTGACATTGACAGATTTTCAAACCAATGCTAACAATTTTTAAAATCATCAAGATCAGAATGAATATAAGTTTGCGGTGTTTTGGCCAGGTGATATGAAAATATATCGTATCACACCTAAAATGTATTGTTTTCTAGGCTTTACTTTTCTGCAAAGAGATCCAAGATAGGTCCAATATTCTCTAATAACAAAAAATATTCAGCAAGGAGTGTAAAATTTTAACAATCCACAACTATAGTAGACCTCAATGCACAGTCTAGTAAAATTTTCAAGTTGGGTATTTTAAATTGTTTTAAATTTATTTCTATTTGTTTTATTTACTTTTCTGATAAATTCCCACTTACCTGCGCTTTACAAAAAAAAAGATATTAGACACATTTATTTAGTTTAGTTACTTAAAAAATTTATAAATTGTTATTAAAATAATTCGAAAATGGAACTTGTTAGATTTAGATTTCTTTTTCATAATAGCTGGTTCAATTTTCTAAAAACTGATGAGTTTTAATGCTATTTTCAATCTGCAATTTTTTCTCTAAAAAATAAACTATATATTGCCTCCTAAAAATTAGTTTTTAGAAAATTGAGCCAACAACAACTTTGGTAGTTTCATACATATTGCACACCATACTTACTACACCATCCTTGTTAATCTAATATACAATTTTTTTAGTCTCAAGAAGAAAATTCTTGTTAAGACTATCAATTAGATAAACTGTAATGGTGCAGTACTACGAATCTACTTAAATATTTGATTTTTACTCTACAAAATGCACAAAAAAACATATTCATTCTGTTTTTATTCGCAACGATATATCCAGCAAAAAATCAGTCGCAGAAGAGCAAACGAGTACACAACGAACTAAAGTGTACCTTTTCTTCTCTGCTGAGCGATACAGAGACAAAGCTAGAGCAAAAAACAGGTTGTTTAAATTCGATTATGAATGATTTTTTCCCTACGGTTGAACAAAGAGTCCGGTCATTCAGCCGACAGAGACAGCCCGCAAGGGCCAGAAATAGGCCAGTTAGGCACGCCAATGGCACGCACTGTTGATTTCCGCTAGAACATAACAATAACATACCCCATATGTGTGATAGAATGGAAAAAAACCGATGCCGGTCCATGGTATCGTTTTCCGTGAACTTCTTCTAAAGAGGGAGGTGTTGGAGCGCTAGAAACTCGAAAAAAGGTACCAAATGTCGTGACTACACGCCTTTTTTCTAGTTTCTACACCAATAAAAGGTTATAAATAGATTAAACAATTGTTGCTAGGTGTTTACATGAATCGCATTTCTCTCGATAGCGCTGCTATTAAAATTATGAAAAAAAAAGACAGCTCTCGGAAGGCTCAATGCAAATAAAACTGTTTATGGCGCTTGTTTTAATGAACCAGATAAGTCGTTATCAATGTTTAACCCTCCGACGGATTGTTTGGAGTTAAATGTGCTGAACATAGCTCTCTGCAGTGAACTATAAATATTTATTAATAAGTACTATCAAAAGCGATAGTTTACGGTAATTAACCAGTAAATAATTCTAAGAATTCGCGTGAGACCTCGGCGAGTCAAAAGTTAGACGGTTGTTTTCCAATGCCACAAGTTCTCGTGAAAGCCATAGCAATTGTAGTATTTCCTGATATACGCTGCAATTAAAACCAACTCTTATCTGAAATTGTTTCCGTTAATTTATTCTAACAGCTAATTGTTGTCGATATAATTTAGAAAATGTACGAGAAATGCAGGTAATTTTAAATTTTAATTGTCATCAGTCAGGGGTTCCAAACATTTTCTCGACAAAGATTAAAAAAAATTCTTCAGGTGTTTTAAATCCTATTCTAGAAAACATTTATATTTAAAAGTTGCACATTGCTTACAAAATTGTTTAATTTGCAACAAAGAGCATTGTTTGTTTAAAAATTGTATGTAGGACACTTCTGTCGAAACAACATAAACAATCTAGCGATATTAATAGCTTCTCATTATCTATTATAAAAATATCGTCGTCTGAACAAATATCATACTTCGAAAATAAAATATCTTGTGAAACAGGGGCTGTTGGAACTTTCCGACGTCCTACTTTCAAGTGCCGATGTCCTTTCGCTTCCCGTGGAAGATTTCTTCAAGTACGATTCAAGTAAACACCGATAAGGAGCAAACTGGAAAAATCACATCGAGATTGGAATATGCGTATTTGCTTTCATCGGAATCGAGCCCAAAGAGATCTTTTGACGTAAAGTTCGATAAAAATAGATTTTGAAACATAATTAGAAATATGCTTTGTTGATTGCATGCAAAGTATGATTAAAGTATTAGAATGTATTGATTGGGAACAGATTTTTTTTTAAATGTTTTGATGCTCAATACTACGCCTTCAAAAAATATTTGTGGTTGTCAAAATAGTAACATAACCTCATTTTGGATCACGTGGTGGAATGTAAAATAATAAAGGCTGGTTCATCATAGTACGAATATTTTTGTGAAATCACTAAAATAGCGTCCGCACCAAATTTTTTTGGTCATATAAGAACGAAGTATTATAGAAAAATTTAGGAAATGTTTATCAAATTGTATTCTTTATTGTCATTCTATATTATCCTGCGTCATAAATTATGTAGGTATGTCAAATTTATTACACTAAAAATACCATTTTACGTTTCTTTTTAACTAATTTTTAAATTTTATTTATTGTTGTTAAGTGCAGGGATAAATAACAGTAAACTCGACAGTTTTTGGTAGGTAATCATTTATTTTCATGTTCCATGAATTATGAGACATGTAACCTCACTAATTATCTATTCTACATATATTTGTTGCATCAAATCAACGAAGTTCGTAAAACGTTGAAATTATTTGAACTTCTGGTATTTGCGCCGCCATTTTTTTTTTTTTTTCATGAGAATTGCGAATTTCGATCTAACATGAACCAACCTTCAAACTGTTAAATCTCGATGTCATTTTTTTACATAAATTCTACAAAGATGCTACGAAATTAAAAAGAGGGATTGGCCACGTTCGTAAAATTTCGAAAAGCTTCGTAGAACCTACAATTAATTTGTAACCAAAATCTCCAGACGTTTCAAAGTTTATACAGACGATATAAAATTATAAAAAAATCGCCTCATCTGATGGTATTATGTTATAGAATTACTCACTATTTATATTAAAAATATATAAATAGCTTTGATAATTATGTTTACCAGTAAAGAATGTACAGTAAAAGCTGCAATAAAAGTATGAGTAATGAAGTTTTTTTTATAATATATTGTTTGCTCCAGATAGAAATTTATAAATTATATAATATATTTCTACCCGTAATCAATCCAAATCTTTTGCTTTCTCTGACCAGTCCAAATTGTCTGGCAACTGGTTATTGACCCCATAATCTTTAAGGTTTATTTTTAGCCTTCCACAAGAAGCGATTGTATTTTGGAACGTTGTACGTCGCAAAACGAGTGCAGGTTTTACATTTCACTGACGTTGATTATTCCCGTTCACGTTTTTTCTGCTGGAATTGCTTTTATTTAAGTCTAGACTGTTTTTAACAACAAATTAGTGTCAAAATTTAAAAAAAAGGTAAAATAGATTGTTTGATGTTTTTGTTAGTACCAATTCGTACAAAATTTCAATATTCATCAAATCAGGAGTGGGATTATTACCCAGATCAGTTAGAAGTGGGATTAGAATCCACGAAGCTTTTCGAAAAACACCGTTTCAGCAAAAATTCGGAACGCATCTGTTCTCTGACGTTTACCGACCATGGACGCTGGCATCGTCTATCAAAATAATAAAAAAAGATAAAGAAAAGAGTTACCTCCGGGGTGGCCGAACAAAGTGTACCTAGATACGAGAAACCTTACCTGCATGGAGTGGATGGTCGCCATCTTCTGCGCGATCTGCACCGACAGCTTCTCGTCGGCCAGTTCCTTGGTCAGGAGGGGTCTGGCGTTGATGTACTGCTCGATCCTGCCGCCGGGGAAGATGCCGTGGAGTTTGGGGCCCAGGTTGCGCTCGGACAATAAAGTAAAGACGACGGATTCGGTGATGAGCGCTTCCAGGGCGCCCTCTCCGTGGGTCTGGCCGTAGACGCGGATCAGGACCTCTCTGGGTTCGTCCTGGAAGCGGCTTTCCTTCCAGAGGTCGTCTGGAAGGGAGACGTGGTAGAGAAGGTTGGATAAACCGCCGCTGAAAGAAAATAGAAAACATGAAAAATTAAATCATTTAAGTCAGCGGGGTTCATTTTATGTCTACACATTGCACTTTGCACTGACAGCGAAATATCGTTTTAAGAAAGGACCAAGTATGGGTATAATTAATTAATTTGAGTAGGTATTTAATATTTAACGCGTCTCTAATTTCCGGTTAAGAATAGAAATTGATATCCAGTTTCTTTTAACAAAGAGTGCCATAATAGACCAGGAAAGGAAACATTGTGAAATTTATTAATTACTGGGTGTGATTTTATTGTTGGAAAGTCTTGGGAATGATAATACAAAAGGAGTCTCATCAAATGGGTCAATGAGGTTAAGGGGGTTAAATTAATTTTGAAGGGTTAAAATAATTTTGATATTTTTTTATTGAGAACTATTGTCTAAAATATTTCAAATAAAAAAAAATGAAAAAAAAAATGAAAAAAAAACATTTTTGGGGGGTAGCGGGTGGTTTTATAAAGGTAGAAATAATTTTTGCGTCGAACTACCCCAAATAAAAAAAAGAAGGTTCTACGTTACATAGAAGCTGACATATTACAAATTTGACATTGGAGGAAGACGAGCTCTGTATTGATCAATTATGGGCATATTCAATTAAAATTAACAGGGCACAAAGTTGAAACCATCATTTACAAAATGTTAAAATTTCAGGTCTTAATGTGTATAACAAATTGCTCAGTGATTTTTTTTTTTTTAAATTGCTATCTCCGGACCTATTGGTCGTAGAAACTTGTTTTTTCAATTTGTAGTTTTTTTATGAGCTTTCAAATGGTGTATATAACTTCTTTCAAAAGTTAACAACCGCGGAGTTACTTTATTTGTTTATTAGGGAAAAAAGTGTCTTTTATTTGGTAACAACTACAGCTACAACTTAATTGAAAAAAAATATTTTTTTTTTAACTAGAGGATACTTGGTGTCCCTTCGAAGAAAATGAGGCCAAAAAATGTTTTAGTCATAACCCTGCCTCTGGAATAGTCATTTGAAAATGGGCCTTTTTTGCAGAAATGGGATAAATAAATGGAATTTTGCAAAAACTATTTGACCGATCGAGCCCATCTTTTGCACATCTCTTAAGGCTATAAAAACTCACATTTTGGGAAAATTTGGTAAGATTTTATTAATTATTTAAAAAGTTATTAACAATTAAAGAAAAAGCACTTTTTCGGTTGAATTTTGCAATAAATTTTTTGTTTATAAAGCAATTTTAACTTATAAAGTCTCATTTTGAAGATAAGTTTCTCTAGATCAAATCGTCTCTGTTGAACATTTTTTGCTAAGAGCTAAGATTAATAGTTTTTTTTACAATAACGCGTAGAACAAAAAATGACGAATTTTTGTCCTATTTGTTGATAAAAAACAATGACGCTATACTTTTTTCATGACCCATTTGATGAAACGCCTCCTATATTATCATTCCCAAGAACTTTCCAACAATAAAATGACGCCCAGTAATTTTCACGATTTCTCGATGATTTTTCACCTTTATTTCTTGGTCTACAATTTTCGTGTAAATTATGTTTGTAGTAAAAATTGTACTAGTACTATTTTATTTATAATATTCGGGAATATTTTTTACCTCAACGACCGACTAACCATCCTATGCACGTGTTTTAGTAGTTTAGGAAGAAATAATACTACAATAATGACATATTCTTTTATGTATATTTAAATATATATATATATATTGTAAAAAGACCAAATATGGGTTTGTAAAAAAAAACAATTCACATTAATCTAGTTATATTCAACATTTTTTATTCGTTTTAAGGTGTAATTTTTTTCTAAAAGTTATAATTTACATTTTTATCGTAAAACATATATTGTTGTTAACTGTCAAAGCCTGTAAATTTTCATTAAAATATTCTGAGCGGTTTCCGCAATATTTATAAATTTGCATTTTTTTATTAAAACTTTTAACACCTTGTAGATCGGAAACTAAACGTTTTCGGAATATGGTATATTAAGGAAATATATCACAAATCATTTGTACTATAACCTCCTGCAAGGAATGCCTCGACTTACCAAACACCCTGTATATACAGGCTGTCTACTATAAGAGGGCCACTCCTATGTATCTCGCTTAATACACAATGCACGTAACAAATCTTTATATGTTTATTGTTGCATTTTTTGAGGCATTGATACTTGTAAAAGCAAATTTGAAATCCATGGCCAACTTAATGAGTAATTATAAAAAACCGTAAAAGTACCGAAAGTTTAGGGCCGTCTAACTTTTTTATTTTAAGATACTTAAAATAAACTTATTTTAATAAAATTTCATGGCAAAATTGATATTTTTCACTTAGTGTAAACAAATTTTTGAAGTATCGTATGTAATTTGCTACGTCCTCTACGCGGACAAAAACAAATTGTCATCGAAGCAAAAATTGTTACTGAAAATGTAGATTAATGTAGAAATTGTTTTAAACATGCCAACTACAAAAAATTTATTGAATATAATGTACTTCTTTTAAGCAAAGATTCTGCAATATCTGGCACCCATCAGTTTACCATCACAAAAGTAAGGTCCTATGACTAAACCCAAACGTTTACTAAAGCCTCTATTGAAATGCAGTTTCTACGTACCAATGTAAATTACCATTAATCCGTTTGAAGTAAATGTTCCTTTTAAAATCCATGCCATAATTTGCCGCTTTTGAACAAGCGGCATTGTAAATTACAAATTTCTTTACACCAAAAATAAGTTATTTGAGTTTCAAACTAAGTCCATTTTACAGAATATCTGCGTTAAAATGAGGGAAAGTCTGTTATTTGTGCATCAATTCATATTTAGACAAACTGTGTAATAAAATCTATAAAAATGTATCGCTTAACTTAAAAATGTTGACAGAATATCGCGCAGAATATCGCGATATTGAAGGTCATGACAAAGAAGACAGTTTTTTGGCACTTATGTCCAAAGTACACAAGGTCGAAAATCGATCTAGTAAAAATACCGAGAAATTCTTCATGACAATCTGTACTATGAGGTTGCCTATTATTTGGCGTATGTGACGTTACTACTAAACAGGTAGATCCCAATGCTTGACCGGATTCTTTAATTAAAATTTCATTTTTATATTGGGCTGTTTGTTTTCCAAGGACTATTAAAATGTTTACAATATTATTATCTTTCCACTTAAACCAGGATTATTATTTACGATAGCGAAACCCTTAAAACAAACTGCAATTTCAAAAACAATTTAATCATAGAATAGCAAAGCAGTGTTGTATTTAGTACAATTAGTGATTAGCGAATCACATAATCATTTTTTTATCGTAAACAAGACATCAAAATCTCGCGATGTCGCAGTATAGAGTTAACAAATTAACAATCTGATTATATAAATTCAAGGTAAACTTCAAGATGTATTAAAGAAACATTATAGTCTACGTGTTAATCAATACCGACTTCGCCTGTTGAATTGGTAAACAGTAAAGAATTCCAGTGGCGGCAGGTGAAATTTAAAGGTGGTCTGAGATCTGGGAAAGGAGTTGTACACATTTCTGCAAAATATTTTTTTTTGTAATCAACTGGCAGATATGAACAGTTTTTTTTCATTTTTGACAAAATTAAATTTTCTTTCTAGTTCTACTTGTAAATTTTAATTAAATACTAGCATTACTGTTTTTCATAATGCTGTAGCTGTACGAAAAATGATAATTGTGAAAAATAAAAAACGCACTTTGTATATATTAATTTAAAAATAAAAAAAAATATCTTGCAAGTACATGCGCAAGTCCTTTTGAAATCTTAGACTTGGCAACCCCTATATTGATTTTTTATTTCACTTACGATTTTTTTTTGTCATGAAAAAGTTGAGCCGCCACTGAAGAAATCAAATAATTATCATGTCAGAATTTCCCAAAACGTTCTGCGTTTGTACAAGTCTATATTTATTTTACCTCAAATGTTAAAGACAAACTCTTTCCTGCATATATTAAGGAGCCTGGTACTGCCATGTACTATCAAATTGTAAGAAAATTATCAAATGACACGTGTGCCGAGTTATATAAAATAAGTGTGTAATAATTTTTGACATCCATAATCTATTTCGGTTATTATCTCTATTCCTAAACTCAGGTATATCGATAAAACGGCATGATTGTCTTTTCTTAGCTGCAAACCATCGATAAATGGAAAGTTTGAATCGTAATTTTGCTGTAATTCGTATCATGGAAAGATACAAGACAATAAAACGTTTTTACGTTTTACAATACCCATAAAACAATATAACTGCGCTTTTCTAAAAAAGACTATCAACTGAGGCACACACTGCAAAAAAATAACGCAAAACAGATAATTTTAGTAAATTATTACGTTATACATAACAAAATAAGACTATACTGTAGTAACCCGTTTTAAAATTTAAATTTCGCGCGAATTTGCATTGTTCGTAGAAGAAGAAGAGAGAAGATGTTTTTCTCCATGTTATTAGGACGATTCAGATGATGTCATATGACAATCCTAACACGTCACATTTCAGAACTGGTGTGTTAATTTTTTAGAGCATTGTATAGGAGTGTCTAATCTTCGTATTAGATATTTAATAAAAAAAATGATAAAAGGTGACAAAAACTGATATATAACGGTTTTGAAAGAACACTACTTTATAACTAAAACGATGTATGTTAAAAAGTGAAGTATCTTTTTCCCGACAAACAAATTTAAGTATTATATGTACAAATTTAATCAGTAATTTTTCAAATTATCGCAAACAACGACAAAATTTAAGTTGTGTACGCCTTATTTTATCAGATTAGTTTAATTGTTCTAATCATTACGAAAAATATGAATCCAAAACCATATTTTGGGTGTCAAATATGTCTGACGCTTGATACGTTATTTTTGAAAAATTAACACATTTTTCCTCTTCAAAATTTCACGAATAAAAACGTCCGTCCTTTTCTTTCTGGAGCTTTTAGAGGCGTTAAGGTACGTACACACCGCATGAAAATAAGGTAAACAAAAAATACAATGATGTTTTCAGCCGAGTACTGTAGTGTATACGCACCTTTACCCGTACCTTGTTAGGAAATCGGTTTCAGATGAGTGTGAATACAAAACCGTTCTAAATATAAAATTATATCGTGGTCTGAGCAATGGAAAATGATTCATAGTTTCATTGAGGGATGGTGTATCGCATGATTAACGTTGAAAAAATGTAAATAAAGGCGACTTCTAAGTAGGTTAAGGAAACCTTGAAAGACTGAAAATCTCGTAAATATGTTTACATGTCTTGTTTGTTTACAAATACAAATAAACTGATTGTTGCCCTCTTAAAAACACATTATTTTGACCAATTAATTGATAATATGCAATAAATTGAACGTAGTATTTGATAAATAATGTATAGACTCTATTAAACTAGAAACATATGCGTTACGATTTGTCAAGGTAACAGCACGTGCGTATAAAATAATTCACACACATGTACGAGGCCTGTTCAGAAAATAACCTAAGTTTTTAAATTACACGCTAATTGAGATATTTAGTGATATGCGGATATTTAGTTTTCGTGATGTTGTTATTTGAGAGCAACGAGTGTTAGTGACGATATTTGAAATGTAAGGTTTTCTGGAACAACAACATATAAAATTTTTGGTAAAACTGGGGACAGAAACGTTTCAATTTTTGAAACAAGCTTTTGGAGATATTTGCTGTTTTCTTTTACTCATGATTTCGGAATCACAACGGGTTACGATCCGAAATCATGAGTAAAAGAAAAGGGCTAATACTTTGGCTGTCGGGGGCCAGGAAGGCCTTCGACTTTAGCTGACGACTGCCAGAGAAATTCCAGAAGAGGTTAGCATCTCAATTGCGCCATGCCATGAAATTTTGTCTGAAAAATTGAACATGCATCGAGATGCAGCAAAATTTGTTTCTCGTTTGATGACGGAACACAAAGAAAATCATGTGGACGTTTGTCGGCAACTCCTTGAACAATCCGATGACGATGAAACATTCATTCACAGGATCATAACGAGAGACAAAAGCTGAGCTTACGGTTACGACATTAATACACGCTCTAAGAAAGCACGTCAGTCTCGAGTTCAGTTATTTTTTGAACAGACCAAAGTAATATAATAATAATATACGAAATAATTCTTAGATATTCCATTGTTTATCGCTTATCGGTCTTAAACCTAATTTATTTTAGTTGCGGAAGAGGAGCACTAAGTTCAATTTAAAGATAAACAAAACCATTAGGTGGGTATAAAAAATTCATTCTATTTTGGGAAAACCATGTTGACGTGAAATTAAAAATTTAACGACACGATTATCACAAAATTATCACCGTGTTTACTACCAATAAAAAAATAATTAAATGGGCCGTAAAACTGAACTATTTAACTTATCAGAATGAAACACCGACATGAAATAGTTTTAAAGTAACTAAAACTAGAAAACTTTTTGTGGTATCTTTTAGAAAATACACGACTGGAAAAAATCAAAGGAAAAAAAAATTTCATTAATTTTTTTAGTGATTTTCGAATGGCTGTATCTCCGTGAAAAATAGTCGTATCGAGATAAACAAAAGAGCATTTTGAAGATCTTTTTTGACCTACGGTTATTGAACAATTAAAAGTACCTCAAGAAAAAATTTCCAAATTTTTTTTTAGGACTCCATGGACTGAGGAAATTTTTTGAAACTAAATCAATACAGAGGTCAGTTAGCTCATTTGATTCTTGAAACGTCTCTGTACCAATATTGGTTGCCGAAATATCAATGGTTGAATGAAAAATAACACTTGTTTGTATCGATCGATATCTCCGCAAGAAATTATTGCACCGTAAATCTAAGGCCACTTTTGAAAATTTAAATAAATTCCCAACGAAGACCTTTATAGTTTTCGAGGAAAATTTTTTTTTCATGCTTGACATCAATTTGAAAAAGTGCAAAAATGACTTAGGAGGCCTACCGCTAATTTATAAATATTGACGAAGACTAATGTTGAGAGAAATTTTTACAGCTCAATATACACAGAATAACCCTGTAAAATGACAATTAAAGTGAATGCGTCAAACCGTTTTACTATTCCAAGTGATCAAAGTCTGTTCCAAGTGATCAAAGTTTTGGTAAGAATTGAAGGAATATATTTACTTATTACTCCTAAATATTACGTTAACGAAAAAAAATAATTTTGTTCCACTTTTCCCACAATTTTACATTAGATATAGTTTAAATTTGAGACAAACAAATCATAAAAACTAGACTTAAAGCTTCAAAACGCTTTTTTGTTTATTTTTTTGTTCCATTAATTTTTTCCAGTATTATTTTTATTCGATGATTTAAATGATTTTAACATTATTTATGTGACCAAAAGTGGGAACAGCCATATTTTCAAAATAAGAATTATTCACACATTCCTTAAATTACAAATTTCAACATCGGCCATCTCAAGCTGCCCGAAAATAAAACTTTTCTATATATAAACCAAGGCTGCAAAGAAATAGAGACCGTCTTTCTATAACAGTGAGTCGCGTTCTTTTTTCATTGAAATAATACGTGTCAAAAGCTCGAATCAAAGCCACGTCAATAGGAATTGAAAAAATCTTGAAAACAAGACAACAAACTCGATATCTTGACAAACATGTAGTATAGTACCATCATGTTCCTGTAAATACGTACATATTATGATTGCGTCATGTATGTACGATAACTGTGTACAATTTCACGATTTCAAAAAATAAAGGTTAAGTCTTTTACTAACTACGATTATTTGTTTGTCTCGCCAAAACATATTTACCATGTGCATATGGTAGCAAGGAAATACGCAATATACGCCTAGTTTACATTTCAGAGTAAAAAAACAATGTATTATTCATGAATTATAGTATACGACAATAAACAAAGACGAAAAATCCCCATTTCCTAATAATATCCACTTGCCATAATAATAAACAGATAGAGATAAAGATAAAGTTAATTGTTTGAAGGTTGTATCAGCCACTTTGTTCTAGTAAACTACTCAGTAATTTTCCAGAATGATAAGACAGATACCGCTTATAATTTCTATTCATCTCAGTTTTCTTTATAGACCAGGCGGTATCGGTTTTGGTTTGGGTGAATCGTATATCCACGGAGATTTTTGGCTTTTTGGCTTTCAAATATCACTTGAAATGAAATTTTTCTATGCGCATAAAAAAAAAAACGTGGGCTTAACTTTTGGCGGCACAAAAATAATAATGAGGGTTTGTCGAAATAAGTATCAGTTTAATTTATCACAATCTAAATTCTAATGAACTTGTCTCAAATGCCAGCTTTTGACAAAATCTTTGTACTATCACGCCACATCACCTCACAAGTCACAACATGAGATCGCGTTAGCCATGCCCCCTACAGCCGACTTAGATCGGGCTGTCGCAAATAGAACTTTTGATAAAAATAAATTCCGACAGTTACGCTCTGAGAATGCAACCACTTTGCGATAAATTACCAGCAATAGAATAATGGAAATTGCCAATTTTTTAAATCGCATGTTGCCGATTTTTCAAGTTTTCTGACGTCGATTTGGACTTTTTACAATTTGTGCTTCGCGCGCCAGAATTAGAGGTGTAGACGTAATTTTTATTTCTTTTACCTTTTGAGTAGTAACATTGTTCAGGAAAATAAAAAATACGCAAATACATATGATTTTTTCCATTTCTCACCCTGTGAAATATGGTAAAAACCTCGAAATAGACTTTGCCCGGTCTAGTCGTTTCCAATTGCTGATTTCACGTTTCGCTACGCGGTGCAATGATCCGTATTTTATACAAAGTACAAAGTAGGCTACGGTATTTGCGCTTTTTTATTATCAAATTAGTCAGTCTTTTAAAATGAGGACGCGGGCAGTATTTTGTAAGCGGGCGCAATTTACCGAAGCCTTCTTTAAAAGATTACCTGATGTGCTTGAACCCGATGTTCTGGGCCGTCACCTTCTTCCAGGCTCCGTTCAGGTAATCCCTGCATATCCTGGAGGCCAGATCTCTCATCTCGGCGCTGTCCCCGGTGACCTGTTTCAAGAACACACCCCACCAGGTGGAATTAGTGATTAAGGGAGGCCGCATCGGCGTTTGTTCGATAAAACAACTGCCGCGGGCCCGGGGGGTCCCGATTTGTTTCGAGGATTGTTAGTTTTAGTTACGTGTTCGAAGCTCGGCTTTGTCTAGACTAGAGATGCGGTGATACGGATGTGGATATCCAGAATCAATATTCCGACGCAGTCGTGGCCCATATTTAAAAAATCCTCAGAACAAAACAGGATCAGGGGTTGGTCGGGCAGATGCACTCACCTTTTTAACCGATGAAATGTTCAACATCTTGGCGAGTGGTCGTTACACAACGATTTAAGAAAAAAAAAGTAATTTTATTTGAATAGTACGCGAGTTCGGTGCTGATTTCAAAAATTTCCCGTGTTCTGGAACAAGGAAAACCGTACTATTGGATAAAAGAAAAATTAGGAAGACAACTATTGTCAACGTAAACAATCGCACTGTCCTTTCAAGCTTAACCTCGAACGAATAACTAGCGAATGACTAAAATCCAGACACAACGAAACTTTTACGTAGGTACCTATGTTGTACAGTGACGTGACGAGCGCTACGAAACGGGGACCGTCACCGAGACGGTCGAGGGAGGGGAAGGAGCATTACCAACCTTAATATCTAAACTATAAGGTGCGTGCTGTGGCACGGCCTCATGCCTCTTGGGTCGGTTCTAGACGAGCTGGTTTTTGGTATAGAAACGACTGGAGTTTATAAAGAATAGTTTGTCGGTGATAGCATGAAGGTACGTGCACACTACACGTTCCTTTGGTACTGTACAGCACGGCTATTAAGAAAAATTATGTTTCAAATAATTTTGTAAGGATTGTACCAAAATTTTACCCAAAAGGCGAAATACCAAATTAGTCCAGACGGTATCTGTTTCATAGAGCCATATTTGGGTGAATCGTATATCCATGTAGATTTTTGGCTTTTTGGCTTTCAAATATCACTAGAAATGAAAATTTTTCTGTGCGCATAAAAAAACGTGGGCTTAACTTTTGGCGGCACAATATGCTAAAAAAATTCGAAAAATGTCACATTTTTCTTCCTATTTAGTTATGTATCTTTTCAAGAGTTGATTTTAGGCGAAAATGGAAGAGGAAAAAAATGTTTGCAATTAAATTTTTTACAAAACATGTCTAGTTACAAATCGAATGAATCATGTTTATGTTTATGATGGTAAAAATCGAAAAAATCGCAAAAATGAGGTTAAAAAACAATACTTTTTAGGGATTTTTTTTGGGGTATTTAAATTGGATATCGGACCTTTATACTTGGTTAAAAAAAACTTCATGTTATGTAGAATTATCACACCAAATTTCATCAAAATCGGTTCGATAGATTTTGCATAATAATTTTGCAATCCAGATTTTGAAAAAAAA